GCCGACCATGCCGTTCTGACAGTGGCTAGCGACAGTACAGTAGAAGGCCATTGGGTCTGTGCCGTTCACCGTGACCTGGAACACCTCCTTCTACAAGAAGAACACTCAAGTCAGCTCACAGCCACGGGCACGCCATTATCAACCAGAAGACCAGCAGAAGAATCACAGCTTACATTTTCTCCGTTACCCGAGGTCTTCATTACACCAGAAAAGAAACCACCTTGGGCAGCCGGTGTGCATCCGTTGGCAAAGTCGCCCATAGCCACGCTGTGCTGTTTGTAGAAGTGGTACTCCAAGATGTCTCCCTTGGCAGCTGTAACTGAATCAGGGGAAAATGCCAGGCCGTCTTTTCCAACATCAATTCTGATTGTCTTTGCGCTTGCCTGGGCAGCAAGGGCGGAGAAGGCAGCGACCTTGACGGCTGTGAAGAGCATTGTTAACTGCTGATTTGTGTGGAGGGTGATATAAGAAGTGTTGGCTTCGAAAGATCGACAGCTGTGGGTCCGATGATGGGGAGACTAAAGAAAGATCAAAGACAAGATCCAATCGAGTCAGATACGTTGGCCTATGAGAAGGAATGGGATATGTATTAGTCGCGGAACAATTGGATGGGAGAGCCGACCCCTTTATACCCAACGAGCGTCGGGGGATTTACAAAGTAAAGCGCCAAAGGAAACGAATCCAATACACATTATCCTGCCCGAGGTCAAGCTCAACTGGCCGAGTACCATTCGTCAGTAAGCTGCAGGCTGGCTTACTGATCCTCATGGGTTGTTGGTCCCGTCTCGGGTTGTGCGGCATCGATGATGAGACGCACAACGTCAGGATGGTCAGTGGCCTGGAGTTGGTGGCGGCCAGAAAGTCCGTGTTTGACTTCAGGACAAGGAACCCGTGGCCCTAGAACCGTGCCGCCCGTCTTGTCCTCTCCATGTTTCATATTTTGTATTGACCAGATTGTTGCCTGGATTCAATCTAAATAACGAGAGGGGCAGAGCAAGAATGCCGAAATACAATAGGAATTCAACCAGCGATTGTACATCAAGCGCCAGCAGCAAAAGACAGCGAGCAGCAAAAGCGACCTAACCGACTAAAAGCAATCAAAGGCCATAACTAAAGGAGCGCTTCATGACGTCGGTTCGTCTGATGTGGACATGTCCATCAAAGATCCGCAGTTGACCTGTCACGGAATCTTCAGAATTCGGGGGCACGCTGGGCCGGTTTGGGATCCTGGGCCTTGCTGAGCCATACATTTAGCCATGCCGTATCAATTGGCGATGGATTGTCAGGAATTTCAACTTCTTTGGTCTCTGGTTTCGAGTTCAGTTATTGTAACCTTTCTTCGTACCGAGTACAAGCTCCATACAACTGCGACGATCATTCTGCCAAGGCTGGTTGGCTGAGCGACGGCTTGCGGAATTCTTCGTTCTGTAGGAGATCTTGTATGGGTTTGGCCCTATTTCCTTTACGCCTGAATCCTTCCGGCTATTTCGGGGATGGAGAATGGGATGCAGCTTTTTCTGTTGGCGGCCCTGGAGGGTAGTGAAGGGAGATGCAGCCTGTATGGCTCATCCGGCAACGTTAACCGCCAAGGCTATGGGATGAAACACGCCACCATAGCAGTTCGTCTGTGCAAAATCAATCAGTCAGAGACTCGCAGGGCTTGAAACGTCCTTGAAACATGATTTTCGGCGTCATCTTTTCCTGGACGTTTCCAGACAATACTATTTTTGGACGACATCTTGCCAGAACAGAACGCTCATTGAGGCCGCCTGCGAGGGTGGCAAAATGTGGAGTTTAGGGATGTCGTGTGTCCTGATGCCGGCACTGGGTTTCCAACTAGTTGCCGGGAACAAACAGTGTCAGTGTGCAATAGATGACTATGGCCCAAGTGGCCGAAGAGCTGGGATGCACAACTTAACTCCATCATGGCACGCACACGGACGGCAATAGTCGCAGTAACGAGCTGGACCTGAGGTGCAATATCCAAACGCCAAACTTTGTAAAGCGTGCAAGGAGTTTCAGGAAAGAACTCCAGCAATGGGGACCAGGTTCTGCCATCTGGTGCGGTCTAAGGCGCAAATTCTGTGTTGAAGTGTGAGACTCGACTTGGAGTGGACAGGCATTGCCTACGATTTCAGCTTGTATAGAAGAGGTGCCTGCTTGGCCCCGTTTCCCCAACATTGAAGAGGCGATACTTGTGCAACAGTCTGGTGCAGCAAAATGACGGAGTCTTTGATGAATGATCTCTGCGCGGACTGGTCAAAACAGACGAGCAGACTTTCCTTTGCTTTTGCGACTTTGTTTATACTGGCAGCTATAAAGAAGGCAGCCCTAGAAAAAGGCCAGTCAAGGAGAACACACTTGAACAAGAAAAAGCAGAAGAAATTGGCCAAGCGAAAACACCCTAATCCACAATCAGAAGAAAATTAAAACACACAAGCTCCAATACGGCGGATTTTGTCCAAAGCAAAGCAGACGAGTTATGGATCAAGTTCACGTCACTGCATCCACCAAGGACATTTAAAACACATCTCTCCGCAATGAGGCTGAAGATGATTGTACTAAAGTTTCCTTATCTCATGCTCGCATGTACGTTTTTGCCGACAACCACGGACACTCTACAGTTGTTCGCCTTGCAGAAGCTGAGGGGCGCACTGACGCGCTTCGTCCTGCACGATGAGAGTTGCGTTGACATGGCAGAGCTTGTGACCTACACGTTTTGGAGCACGGTGGATAATGGAGACGATGTGCCTTGGCCTGCTTTTGTGCTGCTTGTAGAATCGAGCAGCTATGGAGGAATTCAGATTTTGAGAATAGTGTAGAATCATTCAGCGACTTCCTCAACCACCTCATCACGCTGCTATTACAGCGTTTAGACTAGATATGGCTTCCGAAAGCTGGGCATATTCGGAACCAGAGTTGGACTTTTTTCTTTTCCTGCGGTACACGATGTCTGCTTTTGGTATATCAAGCAGTTGGCCCTCGGCATCAATGGGAGTCAGCTAGCGTGTTTAGGTGCGCGAGGGAATTCAACATTTGAATGCCTTTGGCACGTACCCCGGGGCTACGACAGCCATAACCAGCCCGCCATGTGCACCTTTCCCTGTATCATTGCTTTCTTGGCATGGAATTGTTAAGAAATAGACTCAATTGCACCAGTTTGCTCAACACTACTCGAAAACTTCGTTTTTCTGCGCACATTGACAGCCGCAAGGTGGCAGAGCTAAAGGCTGAAGATGGATCCAAGGTGTTATTGCTTGGGGTACTCTTTACGTAAGGAAGCATTAGACTAACAAGTTGTGCGGTTTACCTTCAGGATAACGCGCTAGTGCTTGCTTCAAGTACACCAGACGTTTTACTGGATTAAAGCCTTCAACATGGAGACTGCGTGGACAGCCTAAGAAAACGTCCATAGTGCTAAAACGATGAGAGTACCCTTCAAAGGCGGACCAACAAAGATGCGACATTGCCTCGCCTTATTAATGAGTATAACCATCACATGAGCAGCGTTGACAACGGCGACCAGTTGCGAGCCGAGTTCAAGCCCCTCCGGAGAGTACAACGGGTGGGCACATTGATCCTACGTTCCTGGCTTCAATTCATACATGGCCAGAGGTGGAATACCAATCTGTGACACTCCGATCGAACCCTAGATATACTCCCAGTGGCTACAGCGCTCATGTATACAGCTCCCAATAGATATACTCATAACCAGTCCCTTGGTCCGTGGCCTCTCCAAATCTGGACTCTCTCTTGCTTCGTAAACAGAAGTTTGTCTCCGGTGGCTCGGCATTTTTTTCGAATGCCATTGTCATCCAACAGTAGGACGATTGCGGCCATGATATCATCACGATGACGAAAGACATGGGTCAGCAGTTCTAAATGGCCGCGATGTGGAGGGTGAAACGCTCCTGGATAGAGGAGTATCTTGTCAACTGTTTCTCTCCAGGAGTTTTGGTTGCACGGTGGTCAATCCATAGTCGAATATGGGTGCATCAAAAGGCGAGGTTCGTCGTTATGTGCCGTCCACCATGGTGCTTCTCTTATCTATCAAAGACACATCTCATATACATCTTTGCCCATCTGTATTCGAATAATCTCTGCTTCGTCTGCGTTCCGATCGGCCTGGTTCCAACGGAGTTATCGGACCGAGTTTTTCGCTAGTGACCGCTCGGCGGTTCTGGGAGGTGTTGGCGGCAGAGAATTTTTCGGAGGCGTTCTTCATCAGGTACCCCTAGCGCCGCCGTGCCTGGTATTCATGGTGTCGGCAACTGGACGCTTGTTATTCATGATAGTTGAATGTTTGAAGTGACAACATTGTTCACTGATGTTGCTTAGCAACGCCTAAGCGTTTAGTGTTTTCATTACGTAATTCTAAGCGTTTTACGCAACAATCTTACCATTTCTCGGCATCACCCGTTGGTCAAGGTGGGGGCCCACAGCAGCCCTTGTTCTGGCGCAAAAAATGCGGTACATCGTAAAAGCACGTGCCGGGACAGCGGCCGACGTCCAAGATACCCAGCCAACAGCCTTTAATACGCAATTTCTCACGCAATACCGTCAAAACATGGTAATCTTTTGGGTTTTTGCATCATGATCTTGAGCGAAAAAACACTGCAGGCTTCACAGCCAGCACTTTGAAAAGCACACGAAGCCGCAAACTCAAGGTGCATATCGTCTCCTAATCATGGATGGGCATGAAAGCCACCGCTCAACGGAATTCGAGCTATTCTGCAAGGAACATCAGATTATCACGCTTTGCATGCCTTTCCATTCGTCTCATATCCTTTAGCCACTAGAGGTTGGCTGCTTTGGGCCACTGAAGAAGGCCTATGGCAAAGAAATTAAAGTGCTGACAAGAGCGGGATTACGCACATTACGAAGGCGGACTTCCTACCTGCGTTTTGCACCGCCCTCAAAGCTGCAATGACGGAATAAAAATCCAGGGAGCTTCAAGAGGGGGCCTTATTCCATTTGACCCAAAACGTGTCTGATCACAGCTAGATGCAAGGCCACGGACGCCATCGTTGGGGAGTGGGTTTGCGCCATTTGCCATCGTGGTCTTTGGGCAACTGTAATCTCGGCAAAGGTGGCGGTTTGTCGGCGTCCTTGAAAACGTCCTGCTGCTTGGCTGGCGTATTCCTGACGCGATTTACCAAGTCTGTGTCTGAAATGGCCCCTACAGGCCCCTCGAAGCAGATGCCCTGCCAAAGTTTCCCGGCCTTCTGGTTCTGTTTGGCGGGGAGGAAGCGGACGAGCTGCCCATTGCCCTGCGGCTGCCCGCCCCATTTCCAAGCGTCGTCTTGCATATTCATGGGATATGCGGGTGGATACTCGTCCCTCTCACATTGGGGCTCCTGTCGATGTGCTTTGTCTTCCCACTCGTTACCGTCATGCTGTACCGCCCAAGTCAAAGTCGCCTTGCCGTCCTGTCGCCAATTGGGTTTGCCAGCTTCCGGGGGGCAGGTAATGGTTGCCCATTGAGGCTGACTCTCATTGCAGAACTGTAGTGGTAGCATGCCTGGGTAATTTCTTGGGGCATACCTTGACTACATGGCTGGCTTGGCATTGACATCATACTGTGCCGAGGTGATGACCCTCGACGTCCTTCTTCTCGGCTGGCAGACCCTTGAGCTTTCCCTTCTCATCGCAAATGCACAAGAATGGAGGACAGAAATCATGTTCACACGCAAACTCGCACATTTCGGCAGTTTCTAGGGTCACGTCATGGCCCGATACACAGGCTTGGCCCGATATAGGCTGATCAGTGTTGGTCATCTCGTCCTCGGAGAATTTTTGCAAGTCGACGGTCCAGTCAATTGTCCCAGCGAAATTAAGCTTCCGCCAGTCTGTTCGTCGCGTGTCTTTCGTTGTTGGAGTCGTGTAACCGACGTGGTCTGCATTGTAGAGCAAAACATCCGTGTTGGAGTCGTCATCGTGGAACGTCTTCACATTGACTCCCGCTCTTTTTACCTCTTTGATCTCCGCATAGGCTAGGTATCCTCTGGTGTTGGTACAGCGACCAGGATTCGCGGATGAATCTGTACGGGAACCTGTAAAGTCACACGTCGGGCCCCAGCAACCCTCCTTGGCCATGCGAAATGACCTGCCGTAACCAGCTTCACCAACGAAAATTCTGTTATTGGGAACCCCGGCTTTAGTAACTAAGCCGAAAGACAAAACAATCCGTTGGAAGAAATAGATTCAATGGTGGGAGACGCAACCTACTCATCACGAGCATGTTGTTGGTTTCAGTCCAATTTACTGCATTCGTTAGCTGTTAGCAAATCACATTTTATCAGCTTCTTTTGACGTCCGAGCACTGACCATGACTTCGAATGCATCTACCAGATGGGCATTCGTCAAAGGCGTTGGGGTTACCGGCATCCCACTGGCCATGCAAGTCATACGCCATATACACGATACAGTCAACAATAGAAGCAATCCGGTCGAAAGGAAATGCCTTTAAATACCAGTATAATGCAGGAGCTGCAATTGATACCGACTTGTCCCTTCCTATTCTGGCTTTTAATGCTGTGAGGAATTCGAGGTAGTTCGCTCCGTCAGATTTTTGGCCAAGGGCTGGCCCCGACGTAGATATCCGGCGCCTGACATGGGTTAGTACAGAATAGTAGTTCAGTTGAATACATTTCGTTCTTGTGAATGGCCATGTTTCAACTCTGGAAGCCAGGCCGCGATGAGCAGGAGGCGAAGGAGATAATAGGTACTCACACCAGGGTATTTCCAATCAATATCGACACCGTCGATGCCCTCGTCCTTGACAAATTGTGCGCAGTTACCGGCAAAAACTTGACTGTTATTGACGATGGCATTTCGGATAATACCATACGTGGCGGGCTCTGTCGAGTATGCCCAACCACCCAATGATAGAATGCGCTTTACATTTGGCAGCTTTTTGAAGTCCTCCCACAAGTCTTTGCCCTCGCTAATGACTGGTTTCCAAGTGACGGGATCGATATCAGCGAATTCCAGTGAATATGTGCATATGAAACATTAGTATTCGCATGCTTTGCCTTTAAATGAAGGCAGTCTCGCTTCGACGCAAAGGCTTCATAGTAACCAGTCCTTTGAAAGACAGCAGGCGGACCAGACTCGAGCTTGATTTCCCTACCGCTGTTAGACACGCAAGTGTTTTGGTAGCCCTTTTTCCTACTCCCCGGGCCGCCACCATCAGGCTGGTGTACCTTGTGATGGGCCGGGAAAACACTAGAAGCCCTAGTTGCTGCAACAGGCCTTGAGCGGACATGGGTTTAAGTCGGCAATAAATATTGACTTGTCTTTTGGGGGCTTGCCTGGGACTATTAGTCCACATCAAGTGCCTTACTATAATAGCGGCAATAGTACCAAGCCATCGCTTACGCACATATTATAGCCCGCTAGCATGTCCTTGCACTCGGTCCAAGCCCATGTCTTACCCTTATTCCAGCCTTCCAACTCCCTTGTAGTAACTCCGTATAATTTGGTAATATTATCGCATCTGTCATATCGCTGATGAGATGAATTGCGCAGGTACCGTCTGTGCTAGGCGTAGGCGGCTCGGGTGTTGGCTCCTTGTACGGTTGCCCAGGTGAGCAGCAGACATAGTCTCCTGGCATGAGACTGGAGCACAAGTTTGGCTTAGGATTGTACCTGTGAAGGTCGGTACTAGAAATGACGCATCGAGAAACGAGATCTGTGCAGCCATCTCCAGAGTTGACTCCGATATACCGACAAGTATTTCGGGGCCTTGATGTTTTGACTTTTTCCATTCCAACGGACCTGTCCAGATGTCCAGAGCTCATGGCCAATGTCTCGTTGTTTCCCGGGAAGTTTCCTTTGGCAATCTGCCGAATGTGAATGCTGGGTATCGATCCCGTTGGCCGCAGAATCATGTTGGATGTAGCATAGATGCCCTCGCTGCACGCTAACACGGCCCTTTATACCGCAGCCAGATCTCCAGTTGTATCAATAGATAGACCAAAACTCTCTTCCGCCTGCAGCTCAGTTCTGCAATGCTCGGCAGTAGTATGATTGGGCGCCTATGAGTTCGATTGTAAGCGATCGGCCATAGCATTCAGAGAGGACTCGGCTGTTTGTTTGCCTAAGCCGGATCCAATGTAGATACCGGCAGCAGTCTTGTGGTGATATCCTAAAATGAAACTCTCATCGCAGTTGTCCTTCTCTTGGAAGTAATTTCCCATGACACGCGAGAGATCAGCAGCCTGACGCCCATCTCCGGCTCCCTTGATATCCATAGTTGAAGCCACGCTTAGGATTCCCTTGGTGGGTTTACCTTGGGAGAAACAAGCGGTAGCAGTGTCCAGGCTGGAACCAAAGAGATCATGGCCCTTCTTAGGGCTAGTCACTGCAATATTCATAGCAGAGGATTATGCAAACGCTTAACAGAGAGGCAAGGAATCCAGCTGTGCGGGTTGGAGTAATCTTGGCATGGAAGCGGGCAATCGTGGTAGTCTGAGTCGTACGCGTCGATATCACCAATGGGTGAAGGATCGTCATGACCAACTGGCTCCGTGGCTTGCCTTCCATCAAGATTGAGAGCTGCGTGCACGGCATTGATAATCAACACCAAGGTAAAGGCAATAGCCATATCCCGAGGAACTCGCATCTTGACTAGTTGCGGGACAAGAATAGAAAATAAACAGTGAGAGAAGGAAAGAATAAAAGGCAAAGTCGAAAATTTCCATCACGACATTTAAATGCCATTTCCCTGCCAAGTGGTACTTTTACAAATTGTTTCTTGTCTTTCCACCTCTGCAGATGATGAACTTCTGGATCTGCAGGGGCCGGGCGTGCGGACCCCAGGAATCGTTTACAGTCTTTCTTTGAGACCCATATTGTAACGTTGACAGATAAGTTGAACGGTATGAGAGCGTATGTATTCATCGTGTCCGCTCCATAATTTGGTGGTTCGAGCGAAGCTCTCACCACCACAGCTTGCTGGCTGAACAACCCAGCCTAATGTGGAGCGTGTACGAGTACATGTGTGCAATCAATTGATACCTAGGTAGTTATGCCTTATCCATACAGGTGTATATATTGACAGCCTTGTCATCTCTTGACTCGCCGAGCAAGGGTTTTCAAAACCTGAGGCTTGGCAACCAAGTCGGGAGTCCCAAGCGGATACTTCACCGTTTTCACAGCAGGCATCTTGATCCCATGACGCCACATTAAAGAGAGATTATCATTGGACCATTTAGCGAGAATCTCCATGCTCTTTGATGAAAAAAAAGAACGTTGAATGGCAAGTATACCCCCTTGTATTTTCTTGCATCTCTCCATCCTCGAGTCTCGTCTTTTCAGAGTTTATTTCTTCACAAGGCTTGAACAAACACAACTTCTAGACTATTATTTTCTACACCACTTTTTTCTACACCCAGCCATGATACCTCTCAGCGAAGTCACTTACTCCCGTGACACCACGGTCGCGGCCGTGCGAGACTATTATATATTTTTGACTCGGATGTATCTTGATAAAACCCTTATCAAGGAACCACCTAAAGGAGGCTGGCCATCCATTACTCCTGAGAGCATGCGTGGCCTGGGTAAAACGAATGAAGTCATATCACTACTTCGCCACCTCCCTTATATCGATTCACCTCGCTCTGATAGTGGGCCTAACGTGTTGCCTGATTGCATGTTTGCCGACTGGAAAGCTAGAGTAGAAGAGCAAGAAGATGGCTTTCAACACGGTAGTGATGCTTCCGAAGTCGCACGGATGTCCTCTGAAGGGGCTGGAAACTATGAAAACGTGCCTTCTCACGTCATTGGTCTCACTTGGGACTCTGAGGAACGGTACAGCTTCTTGCTAGACACGAGGCTCGGTATCATACACTGGGTTCAGTGTGACCATCATCTAAGGTATCATTCAAGCCGAGCACCCATCAAAGATAATGCCTACGATTACGCCCCTGAACATGAGGCCGATACATTCCGTGATGCTGGAACATGGGCTATTCCTGATTTCTTCCAAGTCCTCAAAGAGCAGTACCAGAATCTTAGCTTTCTTCCGCAAAGTTCAACAAGGGTGTGCGATGTAAACGCGGGGGAGCACCCAAATGATACAGGGAAGAATCAGCTAATAAAAGGCATCTTTCGCCAGCACGGGTGGCCTAATATGCAGTATTATCGGAAAGATGACTGTCTGAAAGCTATTCGTTGCGCTTTGGTGGAGCATAATTACTCGACCGATGATATTTAGACCAGACGCTCGGTTGGCAGAATGGCGAGAGCTGGCGCCTTGTAGCATTCGTTTGCCACGACATTTTTTCACAAGTCAATGTAAGATTTAAATGCTTGCACTCAATCATTTCAGAAGATGGAAGAATACATCAACACTGTAGTGCAGAGTCACGTGCTCTTCATACGTGATGTCGCGCCAAGATAGACCTGGCCTTGTCCAATGGAGCTTCGTGGGCCTCATGTCTCTATACCCTCCTCAAGGGGCATGTATAGGTCAAGGGCATATACCAGTCCCTACATGTCTCTACTGTCAACAGCGAGCCAGACTCTTGTGCTATTTCTACTCCTCACTACTGCCCGTCTTTGTTTAACCCCCTGGCTACATGTAACGTCAACATCATGAACATCTTCTTTCATCTTCTCAACGCCGCCGCTCTTGCAGCAGCAATTGATTTTTCAGTCATATTTCCGACATCCTCGCCGCCAGCGAGCTCTGAGCCCGAGCCCTCGATTTGTGCCGCGGAAAACTACACAAATTACCTCATTGGTCCCAGGCCAACAGGCACTCTGTCAAGTGCCATGGCCTCTTACACCTCCCAACTATTCAAAACGTGTACTTTGCCTCTGGAGGAATGGCTCGACTGCCCATTCCCGGAAAGCTCACGATTATGTGGCTTTTCCACAGCTGGTCCATCCGAGGTAATGTCGGCGTACTCTGGCTTTGGGAGTTTGGCCTCATCATGGTGGCTCACGCACAGCCTCGCTGCCGAACAAATCGCTTCCAGCTGTCCCTCCCGCTGGTATGATGAAATGGATCTCATACCATTTGCAGCTGTCAAACTAAAGGAGACGATTTCATTCGCAGAATGCTTCATTCGGGAGGTCACCACTGCTCCCTCGGATGGGGTTTCAAAGGTGGCATCAACACCGTCAACCGCGCCCAAAACCTCCGCAGCGCCCGCAGCGAAAGAAACAGGAGCTACCGAGTCATTAGCAGCGCGGTGGAGGCAAGACAAGCTGATAACATTTGCTACAGCAACCACGGCAACCTGGATGCTGTTTTGGGGAAAATGACGGTCAAGGCTCCTGCGCGCGTCCTGGATCGACAACGCTGGGTAATAATGTTGCAGTGAAACTCGCTTTTAGTATTGAATATAATTTGTATGGTTTGTTTAGCACAGCCATGAGGAATCATGTAATGGAGGCACAGCAACGAGGCTGATACTGCCAAGACTAGATCATGGCGGCACAGTAACTACAGAGTGCAGGCGTGGATATTGACAGCTGCTACTTCGCCTCTATTTAGTTTATAGAAGTGCTCCTATTAATCTATGAGACTTCATCTTTCCAAAGGGCCCCCGTGACTCTCTTTCTCTACAGTGCCGGTTGCACGGGAAGATTACACGGCCAGACTACTGTCGCCAGCGCAACTGATGGTGCTTGCTTTGACACAAACTGCCAGGTAGCATCTTTCGATACATCCATCGTGTGAGACTGCCCGAGCGGCCAGGTGCAGATTAGTTACTGGGAGAAGCCAGGCTGCACGGCAAAGTGGTTTGGCTACGGCTACACAAGCAGAGGTACCTGTCGTACGCTATGGACTGAGGGCTGGAAGTTTAAAGCTGCGTGGCTACGATGTGCGATAGAGCAGGATGACTGTGAATAAGGGGACATGTACTTGTGATCCGGAGCCACCCCGTGGAATTTGCACGTAGCTAGATTATTCATGCGCTGCCAGCTTGGGGCAGTGATGTGGTTTGTCCCAAGATATCAGAGGAGGATTTTGGGACCAGAGAGTGTTTGCCAATGGCGCGAGAGAAGACAAGCGCAACCACGGCAGAATCAGTCGACGCACGAGAATGATGAGCAGCGACCTCGTCCTCATGACATAATTAGCAACGACTACTATCTTGGCATATTCTAGCAAGATTGATGATGGTGAATTGTAAGGAATGAGGAAATATTACTTGAGTCGCCTTGATTATACTATACGTTTTGGGGTTAAATCTTGTAAAGATGAATTTTACAAAGTACAATATAATTAGACTTGCGTGGTTAGTTACGGTTCCCTGGCCAAAATACAGTGTTGGTAGATGTGGTTGTGTAATACACCGAAGAACCCGCTTTGGAAGAAGCCCGACGAGTATATTGCGGTGTGTAGAGACATGGGACATAATAGAGACTTGGAAGACTGGCAATAACTAGTAATACGAATATTAAGTAAAAAAAGTTTTAGAAGTTAAGAAATTATTAATACTTTTTAAGTATATTATTACTTAATATTAAGTTGTTTTTTTTTTAAATTTTTCTAATTTAAATAGTAGTATAAGTATTATATAAGTATATTTAATAATATTATATATTAATTATAGAGCCCAATTAATAGCACCCTCTTTAAGTTACTAAGCACCCTTATTATAGCTTATTATAACTATAGTACTTGACATTAAACTCTTATAAATTTTAATACAAAAATAATATTAGCTAGTATGTCTAACGCATCGCGATACGTTTATAGTGCTTAGTTACGGTTCCCTCGCCTAGGTACACCGTACAGCCAAAATACAGTGTTACTGGATACCCTCTATCTAGCTCGTTTTTTTGATTTTTTTTTTCTAAACAAGTTAAAAAGATGTAAGATTTTTTTTATTAGTGATAACAATCTTTTACTTTTCAAGTTTTACTAATATCAATTTTAAATATATAAAAGTAACTCACTTGTATTAAGTATCAAAAACAACGGCTTATCCGCCTCCGAAAATAGGAGACTTGGCCCACCACATTCGATGGTTTCCTTGTCAGGGAATTCTTGGCCCCTCGCCTCCTTCCGTTGCTACTTTTGCGTCGCCTAAGCGGCATGGAGTCTCTTTGAGTTGTTCTTTCAGACCTTTTTAACCGCCCGGGCTGACTCGTGAGGTGTGACCAGATGACCAACCTCGCGGGTCCCTACCAAAGAAGGTCCTCGAAATGGAAAAAACTGTGCCAAGGCTTTTCGCAAATGCCAGAGTCTCGACACAGCGGGCAACACGTCACGCTCCTCCAGAATGACTCAAGGAGGCGAGAGGCCTAGCAAACTACCACAAAATTTCCTTTTATAAAAGGAATGGACTTCGCGTTTCCGCCAGTCACTCGCATCTGCCCTCGTCACCGCATTGAAATTAGGATCCAAGAAAAAAAATTAATGCGAGGCTAATTTTTCATTGCGAGGATCGGCTTGCTCCATCGACTTACGCAACAGATTATTCGATGCTCGCCTGATGCAATTACAGTGTTCTGCGGGGCCTCATTGGGGAGAACATATTCGAGTCTGTCACAGCTGTGGGAGATTCGGAGCACAAAAGCCGCCCCGAAAAACTCAATCACCTCTGGGGATGTTTGCAGCAGAGATTGAACACTGTAATCTGGTGCCAATATTCACTGAAACCGAAGCATACTGCGTTCAGACTGCATCTTAATCGTCTTGGATGCCACGCAGAAACAGAAATTGCCTCCTGCATGAAGCGTTGGTTGGCATATTACGTGGCACCAGTCAGCCTCACCGTTGTGTACACTCTTTTTGTAGGCATTTCGCCAGACAGAGAAGGCCTGCTGGTGTGTCTGGTTATGACAGTACCTCGTTGTCTTGATGGCGAGAGTCCCTGATCAATATTATGAGTCAAGGCAGATATATACGGGATTCTGCCATGGTGGAGGTTCGGCACATCTCGTCGGTACATCTTACGTCAGTAAATCTTACGTCAAACGAGGCATCCAGTCGCAATTAATACATCCCAGACGAAGATGTTATGCTGGCTCGGTGGTCCTGTTCCCAAGCTCTTGTTTCCTTCAATCTCATCACTATTGGCTGTATGGAGGAGGTAGCTGATGATCATGACACCTCCAAACGTCTTATACTGATGTGTCCTTGTCTATCAAGGGGTTGGTTGATACTGTGAATGAGCCAGCCACGTTTTGTATCACGACATGTACCTTGTGACCAGCCTCGCAGGTGCCATTGTCATTGGTTCTGTGGTCATTCAGCAACCCGGAAACGTGGATTATGCCATTTACCTTGATTTGTTGTCACGGCGGATTATGAAAAGGGGGGCGACCATCAATGTAAGAGCACGGGGCAAAGATGCTGGGTTAAAGTCCAACAGTACCTGTGGTTATATGAGCAGCACATGCTCCCTTCCGATATTCTCATTCCAGGTCTATCAGATAGACTCTTCTTGACTGACAGTCTTTTACTTTTGCACTGTGACGAGGATTTATGTATAGCTCCATGGGAACCGTTGGGATCGTTGTGTTGGTTACTCCGTACTCCACACAGCGTTTGCAGATACATGCATTGATCTGTGGAGCACAACAGATTCGAGATTTCAGACCGAGGGGGCATCCGCTGGCTCGTCCGTAATGCTATACAATGTTGTTGAACGGCAAGTGGCAGCTCATGCTGTCTTCATCTATTCACCCAACCCAGGAAGAGGACCCCGACCAGTGGTGTTGCACCGTCTCTCCGGTTCAATGCTGCCTCGTTGCCCCTCCGGGCCACGAACTGCTTGGCCCTCGGGCGTTAAATGTCATATCCAACCAGCATGATTGGTTGTTTGCCGCTCTGGGGAAGATGGCGGCACATGCAACGCAAATGTCCCCTTTCGGCTTAACCGAGAATGCAAGCGCGGCATGCACCGGCAATACGGAGCCCAGCAACCGGCAACGCACCAACGGCTGGCTGGGCGCTGGCAAACAAACCATCACCATGAGCCGAGCTGGCCAACATTCTTGTCCCTATCCCTCCTATCCCTTTCTCCCCTTCCCGCAATTGGACTTGACCCTTTCTTCAACTCCCCTTTCTCTGGCTCAATTGAACACCGCTCGCTCCGGATCTCCGTGCAAGGCCCCATCGTGCTCGTCTGCAACAATGTCTGCTGTCACCCGTGGCCTGCGGACGGCATCGAAGCAGCTTCGCGTCTCTCGTTCCTCGTGGCTCTCCGTCGGCCGCTCGGCCTCCGTCGGCGCTGCAGCTCGTGTCTTTGCGACTCCGTCCTCGACATTGCGCAGCAACTTTTCCACCTCTGTCACAAGACATTCTGGTGCGCCCGTCATGGCTTCTCAACCGCGCGAGTACGATCCTGAGATCAAGGACATTGCCGACTATGTCGCCAACAAGGCCATTGACTCTGACCTGGCTGTGAGTATTTTTTGTTTCTGCTGCTGCTCCCCTTTGCTATGACTCCGGGGCCGCTCTGTCGAGGTCCCTGCTTCTCCATGGTTCCTTCCCCCGCCATTGGGGGTGGGTTCCTCGGCAAAAAAACACATCTGGAGCTACCCCGCCAACAACAAACGTCGAGATGGATGGAGGTTTGGAGGTTTGCTTGAAGATTGACCAAGACGACTGGACGCGGGGAGAGCACATTACCGCCTCTGCGTAGCATATCAATTGCTGTTGTTACTCGGTTTTTTTTTTTTTTTCCTCTGACAGCATCAAACCAGACACTAACGCGCTGTTTGCTCAGTTCGATACTGCCCGATGGATCCTCCTCGATACCCTCGGCTGTGGTCTCGAGGGTCTGAGATTCAAGGAGTGCACCAAGCTTCTTGGCCCCATTGTCCCTGGCACCGTCGTTCCCAACGGCACCAAGGTTCCCGGCACTCCCTTCGTCTTGGACCCCGTCAACGGCGCCTTCAACATTGGTGCCATGATCCGATGGCTCGACTTCAACGACTGCTGGCTGGCCGCTGAGTGGGGTCACCCCTCGGACAACTTGGGTGCCATCTTGGCCGTCGCCGACTGGATCAACCGCACCAACAAGGCCGGCGGTAACCTGGCCGGCGGCAAGATCTATACCGTCAAGGATGTGCTCGAGGCCATGATCAAGGCCCACGAGATCCAGGGCTGCCTGGCCCTGCTCAACTCGTTCAACAAGGTCGGCCTGGATCACGTCGTGCTTGTCAAGGTTGCTTCCGCCGCCGTCGTCTCCAAGATGCTCGGCCTCAACGAGAAGCAGATTGCCGACGCCGTTACCCAGGCCTGGGTTGACGGCCAGTCTCTGCGAACCTACCGCCACTCCCCCAACACCATGTCTCGCAAGTCTTGGGCTGCCGGTGATGCTTGCCAGCGTGCCGTCAACCTGGCTCTCAAGGTCATGAAGGGCGAGCAGGGTGTTCCTACCGTGCTGTCTGCCCCTACTTGGGGCTTCTACGATGTCCTCTTCAAGGGCAACAAGTTTCAGTTCCAGCGTCCTTATGGCAGCTACGTCATGGAGAATGTTTTGTTCAAGGTCTCCTACCCTGGTATGTCGTGTGCCCCCGCAATACTTTGTAGTATGTGAATGGTCGAGTCAAAAGCTAACCCTCGCCTCCAGCCGAATTCCACTCTCAGACCGCCGTCGAGGCCTCCGAGAAGATCTTCCACCAGCTCAAGGCCATGGGCAAGTCCGCTGCCGACATCAAGGCCGTCACCTGCCGCACTCATGAGGCCTGCATCCGCATCATTGACAAGCAGTTCAAGCCCATGGACAACTTCGCCGACCGTGACCACTGCATTCAGTACATGTGCTCCGTCATGCTCGTCTTTGGCCGCCTCGAAGCCACCGACTACACCGACGGCGGCGAAGCTGCCACCTCTGAGCTCGTCGAGTCCCTCCGCAAGAAGATCAAGTGCGTCGAGGACACCCAGTACACCCAGGACTACCACGACCCCGCCCTCCGAACCATCTCCAACGCCCTCACCGTTGAGCTCAACGATGGCACTGTCCTTGACGAGGTTGCTGTTGAGGCTCCTCTCGGCCACCGTCTCCGTCGTGAGGAGGCCAAGCCCGTCATCCTTGCCAAGTTCAAGCGCCACCTCGAACCTCACTTGTCGGAAAGCCGTGTCAAGGAGCTTGTTGAGCTCAGCCAGAACAGCAGCAAGCTTGACAACATGTCTGTTGACGAGTATGTTGACCTGTACACTGTCAAGGAGAGCAAGTTCTTGTAACTGGGGGGTTGCGTATGTAGGAAGTGTCGCGATAATGTAAGAGCAGGGGAAAAAAATTGCAGAGGGGCTCGTGTTTAGAATCCAGGAGTTCAATTGACATAATGACCAAAAACTGCCAACTGCTTGTATTGTAACTTTCAATTGTGTGTCGAGTGCATACATAATGACGACCAACTAAACGTTTCAACTTGTCCTATGCATATAAACGGATACAGTCCCACGCAAAATCGGTCAAGAATCGTCATAGCTGCCCCCTTTCACAGCCCTGCGCATAAAATCAGCAATCCTTTCCAAAACTCAAAACAACGGCCGACGAGTCCGCCACATCAACCACCACCTCCCCGCCCTCGACGACGGTCTTCTCGCCAACCGTGACATTCGTCAGCCTCACGCCCCTACCTTGATCCAACTCGTAATTGTAGCTCCACCCGTCGTACGTGATGCCCGTAATGGCATCGCTCCCATTCGCCATCAACCTGTACACACTGGCACGCACACCGTCCCTCACCCCTTCAACACGAAACTTGTACTTCCGGACCGTCCTCCGCGGCGGGCTCGGAAGCGGTTCCAATCCCGCCCCGCCAACGGTAGTATTGTACCCGTGCATGTTAATCACCATCAGCCGGGCGAGATGTTTCCTTCCGCCGCGGGAGGCGTAGTGCGCCGCGTAGGCGGATTCAGCAACGTCCGAGGACAGCGGGACATTGGAAATGGAAACGGGGGCGCGGGCGACGCGGCGCGTCATGAAGGCGGCTGCTATGGACGCATAGTAGGGCGCCTTGGTGCCGACGGCGGCGAGATCGGTGGCGACGGGCTGCCAGGCCTGGTACTACTTCACAGTTAGAATCGCCCCGTGCCCGGGATCGGGGTCGGGAGGGGGGTACCCTGGCGTACGCGGTAGTTGGTGCCCTGGTGCATGTGGACTCGTTTGAATCCCACGGCGGCGGAATACATGTTGAAGTCGACGCACCACAGGGCGGCGCCGAACGTGTTTGAGAGCCCCGGCCGTCCTTGGTTGTAGAGCGAGTTGGTCTCGCCGAAGATGAGCGGCGGCGGCGACCTGGCCGTGCCGAAGATGGCGCTGTACTCGGCGACGTGGCTGTCGACGGAGAGCCTGGTGCGCGTGTGGTTCATGAGCGTGCCTTGGAGCGTTACCCCGGGCACCTTGGCGCCGTCGATGTAGCTGCCCCCCGTACCCGTCAGTACCGACTGGCAGCGGAACGGGGAATGGAAGAGTTGTGCGAGTACTGGGGGGTGAAAACATACTTGTGCGCGGAAAACATCTCGACGTCGCCGCGTTTATTCAGCCCGGCTGCCCACATCTTGCTTGCCCTTAGCGCGTTGCTCACGCCGGCATTCGACGGCGCCATGAACCTCACTTGGGTCTCTGGACACTGCTTCTTGACTTGGTTCCTGATGTCGTCTGTCCCGGCTAGCCACTCGGCCACCATGTCCGTCTCCTTCCACCCCTTGGGCCGCGGCGCATACGCCCCGGACGTAAACAAGTCGGGCTCGTTGCCGTACTCCCACGTGTACAGGTTGCCGTGTCGCAGGGCCTCGCACGCCAATGGCGCGGTATCAACCAGAGTTTCGCGTCCCCGGGCAGTCTTGCCGCCAAGTCCCATGTTGAAGCCGTGGGAGAACCTGACGCCCGGCCATGTCCCGTAGCTCTCGAAGTAGGACTTGCCGATGGTGATGGTGGTAGGGTAGTCGGGGGACTTGTCGGGGTCAACGACGCCGACGAGGGACGTGGGCTGGGATGCGTTGTAGAGGGCAAAGTCCTGGGTGTTGCCGCCGACGCGGAAGACGGGGTAGTTGTTGGATATGGCGTGGATGTTGTTGATGAGGTTGTAGGAATACTTGTTGGGTTGGGAGTGGTTGCCTGAGGGTTGATGTGAGAACAACTCTTCCGTGGCTGGGAGACGAGAAGCAAGACGGACCGGCAAAATCTGGAGAGGACGAGAATTCGATAGAGTAGCTGACGAAGCTGTCGAAAGGTTGGCCCGACACAGTTGGGTTTGATGGGACGTTGTACGTTTCTGCGGCTGTAGGTGCGAGAGCGCTTAGAAGCGCTAGGATGGAGCTTCGACGCATCGTGGTGTTGTGGCTGGCAGCTGTTGATGGTAGCAAAGGTGAAAGTGTGAGCGAGGCGGCTTTTTATTTGAGCCTGACAAAAGCTCGCTCCGTCTGATACGACTCTACTGCAGTCATGAAGATGTCGGATGCCGGATTCAGCCGACACCACGCCGAGCTCAATCTTTTGTCACCAGGACGAATTTACCCAGATGCCGTTTGGAAGTATCAAGGCGAAAACCTACACGCTCAACACTCAATTCATGTCTGCATTTTCTCCGTGGTTTGCTCTGTGTATAGAAAACCACCGACCAACTGTTCGGCAATGGCCGCGAATGCGAAAGCCCCGAGATGAAGATTGCGACGGCCGAGAACAGGACAGGTTACATTGGGGCTGAATTCCTTGCATTTGGTTTACGAGTTGCAGGTCCGTTTGTCCGCGCGAATAGGCATTGGGTCCGGTTGTGCTACCGGGAACTGCCTGGCAAGATGCATCCATCTTGTCGTTCTGTTTTTTCTCTTTACCCCGCGAGCTGTTGTCAATAGCACACCATTGTATGAGGAGAATCCGCCATCATGGGTTTGAGCCGGAGCCATCATCATAAATCGTTCGCTTCATCGCCATCTCCACGCTCTCTCAATGCAGCGAAGCATGGGCTTGAGCACGTAAACCAGATTTTCCAAAGTTGGGTGCGTGTCTCAATGGTATTCATAACCTATCGCTCGAGACATTCATTGTTACAACTGGTAGTTTGTGATAAGTATTTTGCGCCTGCGACTATCGTGTCCCATATCCAGACGAGAGGAGTTGTGTATGAAGCTGTTCCTTCGATGTCTCAGAGGCTTCACCGTATCTTGGATTTGATTGCTGCAGTCAAGCATCCCAGCGCTATAACGAAATAGGTGTTACTTTAGTTGAGCTAGCGAGGTGCGTAAGCCGAAAGAGCGTGAGAGTCAATGACATACAGTTGCTGGCATGTCGCCACCGCTGTGATACTCAGTCTCCTCGGCCCCTGACGATGCCAAGGCCGGTAGTTATCCATTCATCAAGCTCAACACATTGTTCCTGATCCATTCCACACCAAATATGTAGACATTATTTGTGTGGCTCTGGTTTGAGACATGCCGGATCTATCCATCCATATGTTGCTTCGTAATATGGAAGAGCTAAGCCAACACTTCGTCAGTAGTGACAAGACCATGTGCGAAACAATCCTGGTTGTTGCGACTGATTACAAAGGGTGTCATCCCATGTTATCCAGTACGCTGATGTTGGCGAACCTGAGTGCTACAGCTTGAGTTCCTGCAACCCAGCGGCCTGCGTCTCGTCAACCAACACAACCACTTCATCCATCCGAGAAAAGTATTCGTCACAAGGCTCTGGAAGACCTCGATGTAATATGCCCTTGCTTCTGTTCTCTTTTCCCGTACTAACAATAATGGGGTCTTGCCGTCATGTCTCTTAGCCGAGACATCAGCTCCGGCATTCAAGAGCAACCTAAATTCCGTCGGAGAACCATTCATCACAGCGACATGGAATGGTGTTTCTCCCGCATCAGTTGCAGCGTTGGAGTTTGCTCCAGCTTCCAAGAGATACGCGGCCACCGAGACGTCGCCTCGTCCCTTGGCTGCAGCAACTGCCAGATGCAACGGCGTCTCTCCCTTCATTTTAGGCGCGTTAGGATCGGCACCCCGGTCAAGTAGAACCTTGACTCGCATGTTTGTAAATGCAACACTTGCAGCTGAGGCTAGGTGCAGTGCTGTCTCTCTGGTATTGATAGTTTGGGCAGATATGTCAACACCAGCATCCAGGATTATCCGTATCTTTTCTTCGGGCCCTCTCTCCGCTGCGTAATAGAGGACCGTTTGGCCATCATTGGTTGCCAGAGATACGTCAGCACCTACTGCAATGAGTTGCTGGAGGATGCAGCACTGCCCCAAGCGGCGGCTCCATGTAGCACAGTTGTCCCATCGTCAGTGCGAGCCAAGACGTCACCTCCTGCAGCGAGAATCAACTCGACCACGTCCTCGTATGTTTGTACAGCCCTGAATAGAACTGTATCTTCTCCTTGACCTCTTGAATGGACATCCGCTCCAGCATCGAGCAGCATCTTGACCACCGCATACCCTCCCGATATGGCGCTATGCAATGCTGTATCTCCATTATTTCATTTTATTTTATTTTTTCCGATAGTGTTTCGAACAGTTTCATCCTGTTCTTGGCCTCGTGCATAAGAAGCCGGGCGACGTCTTGATAGCCCCATAAGGCGGCGACATGAAGCGGTGTTTCGCCGTAGCAGTTTCCTGCCAAGATATCTGCTCCCGCCGCAACTGGCTTCTGTGAAACCTCTTCGTGTCCAAAATGCGCGGCAACGTGTAATGGCGTTTCAATATCAGCATTCACAGCCGATGTATTGGGCCCCAGCATCAATCAGCAGCTGTGTTATGTGTTACTGCTGGAGCTCCGGCTGCCGCCGCAGCATGTAGCGCTTATACAATCAAAGGTTGCAAGGGTATAATTAGCGCCAGAGGTGAGAAGCTATCGCATGTCCGTTTAGTTGTTGGCCCATGATGCGTTGAAAAGAGCCATTACCTTCTGGGCCATATCTTCTGAGCAGCACAAGGCCAGTAGTGTAGCTGGTAGAATTAGCAAAGCTGTGAGGAATAACATGTCTATTGGCTATTAAAAAAACTGCCACCTGACGCTCTATGTCTTGTGAGGAAATGAGAAGGTTGAGCGATGGGATAAGAGGGCCAAGATGCCGGAGTCCCGGACCGTAAGTAAACGTTGTGGTACTGAAATCAAAGTAATGCCGGCGTACCTTACAAAAAGCTCAATGCAGTAAGGGGCTTCCGCGGACCCAAGGGACGGAAGAAGGAGCACAAGAACTATACAAGTAGTTTCCGAATCAACAATTCAGAAGTTTATCCATTACCCTTTGTCGTGAATGAAGTAAGTGATCGTGCATCTAACCACGATATGCAGCTACGGATACAAGGATAGCGACAGGGGTACAAGTAACAAGTCACAGGGGAAAATGGGGCAGCAGGATAATGCACAAATATCCAGGCCCTCGATATGGACATTTCATGGTATGATAGCACATTGTAAGTGTAGATAGTTATACACTCCCGGGGAAGGCTGAATAAAATTTATAGAAATTATTTATATCTCTAAATATTAGAACATTTTAAAACAATGATGATAATGATAATATATTCTTAGAATTTTAGCTAATAATAACTTTTTAAAGCTTTACTTAATTATATAAGACCTTAACGCTTGATGTGAATGAGGGAATATTGCATAGGTGCACGTGGCGATGGTAATATTGCCAAGACTTACACGTCACGCATCAAGTGCACAAGTCGGAATGGGCACGGACTGACGGTGTATTCGGGGAGCCGGGACACCGCAATACTGTAATTATGAATGCAGGGCCGATTGTGCCATGGAGCTTGTTTTCGGCCTTAGAGCGACATGAAAATCACGTGTTGTCTGTACAACGCAGCAGTCGAGCGTCTGTCCTCTAGCCTTTCAGAAATTGACGAGTCTCTCATGTTGATCAATTGATGGATTGCAGCTGCACAACACTTAAAGCATGTCGGGATTGGGGATCGGGGATTGGTCACTCACGGCGTGTTGTGTTCCCGCTGCAGCAACGTTATTAGCTTTGCCAATCAGCACAGCCTCGATGGCTTCCCCTTTGGCCCCAATCTTTTTGCACCGCTGCGGAACTTGAAACGTAAAGCCAAGGCAGTCCGTCTGTTCATAAACCTTCTTGCCCCTCCGTTACCCGAATCTCATTCTCCATCTTCCGCCTCCCAGCCTCTTTAACCACAGTGCCCTTGAATCGCATACCCGCCGGTCGATACATCAACGGCAGCCTGAAACGCTGCAAATCGTTTTACTCTCCATCTCAACCATAGGCGAGCCGGCCCCGAGCCAGACTTTAAAATGGTATCCGTCGACCGCCAGCTCATCATGGAGACCAACCGGTCGCTCCGGAATATCAAAACCGTACGACTCCCTCTGCTCACACTTTTTAAACCGCCGCGCTGACCATCATTCTCCAGGAACTCGAGAATCTCCTCGAAAAAGGCGTCATCAACGAAGCAGTCTTTGACCAAATCCACGCGGCTCTACCACAAGAATCACCCCTCTCGGGACCTCTCCGCACAACAAACGGCAACGCATCGACTGCCGCTCGAGATAGTCCTGCCCCCGCCGCAAGCAGCACTACTTCTCCGTCCCCTCCCACGCAGCAGATGCAGAATATGGGTATAAACAACAGCAATCCCACTGCTACCACGTCGCCTTCGCCAGGGCCGCCTTCATACGACCAGACGCCCGCGCCAAGCTTACCCAGCCGTTCCGTCAAGCCCGTGCTTGCCCATGCACGAGCCTTGTACCGTTATGTCGCGTCTGATAACCGCGATGTGTCGTTTGAGAAGGATGACAAAATTTTTGTGCATCAGTACATGAATCAGGACTGGTGGATGGGCCAAAACACTCGAACCGGCCAGGAAGGCATATTCCCCAGGAACTATGTTCTCGTTGAGCACGAGGAGCAAAAGTCTGCCCCATTTGCTCCCGCCCCCTACGCGCAGCCTCAGTATGGATATCCTCCTCCTGGGCAGGGTCCACCGCAACAGCAGAACCCCTACAACTCTAGTGTGCCGCCGATGGCCGTCGCTGAGGGTGGACAACCTGCCAATGGAGAACAGCAGCAGCACGGCGGAGATAGTAAGGTTGGAGAGTATGGTAAGAAGTTTGGCAAGAAGCTTGGCAATGCTGCCATCTTTGGTGCGGGTGCCACTATTGGTGGTAATATTGTCAACAGCATCTTTTAGAGCTTGGATGGAGATGCAGGAGGATGTAGACGTCTACTCGGATTTAATGGGCTATAATGTTTGGCGTTTGGGCAATGTGGCATGATTTTTCTTAGTATTAGTATATCCGGAGGTTTCACAGTCAAATTGAAGCGCACTGTTTTCCTAGTCAGTTATCGATGCCACGTCAAATATGGACCTCAAAATATGCACATAATTACTTTACTTCATCAATGCTGGGAGGGAGGCAGCACCATCTCTTAACACCATGGAACCAGACTGCACATGCATTTGCATACATGGGCGCCCCACTAATTTTGACGACCTGTTAGTTGGCTAGCGTTTGGTGTGGTTGATCCAGCCGACTCCACACTCTGCTGCCAGTAACTATTGGCTGGTCAAAAATTCTGATGAGCATTTCAAGTCACGAGTGTTCCTTGACCAGAAAGACCAACCTAGCCTTTTACGTGGCCTGCACTTATCTATTTAGAGTACTTTATTGTCCTTGGCTCCTGGATAATCATGTCAAATTCGAAGAAGCGCGCCGCGGAGCCTGCGCCCGAGACCAAAAAGAAGAAGAAAAAGACAAAGTTTTCACAAGACGATGAGGCTCTCGACATGGAACTCGGTCTGAACACACTGTTCAATCGCCTGGACAACCAATTGCTCGCAGATCACCTGGCACAAAAACTTGCCCGATTCGGAAGCGACCTCAGCTCGGTTGAACTTTCAGATCTGACCGTATCTGGTACGTCTGTTGGCTTGGAATAAATGATTCGGTGAGATGAACTGAGAGAGTCAATGCTAATCAACCTCGCAGCCAACTCAATACAAGATACCACCTCGTGGCAGGAAAACAGAACGCTCGATAATCTACCTGGCTTCCTTGAAAAGTTCTCAGAAGGCGAAGAATCTCTCAAGAAAGTCCCAAAGAAGAAAGGCTCACCACACACTCTCATCGTCGCTGGTGCTGGACTGAGGGCGGCCGACATGGTCAGGTATGGCGGCCTCCAGGCGCTACAGTTGCACTCCCACGCCAAACATGCTAACTGACTGTACCACAGAGCTGTACGAAAGTTTTCGAGCAAGGACAACACCGTGGCGAAGCTGGTAGGCATGAATGCAACTGGGCTGATTTAGTCGTGCGAAAAACGCTAATCAGGTTACAGTTTGCCAAACACATGAAAGTGGACGAACAGGTGACGTTTCTCAAAAGTAGAAAGACGGGAATTGGTGTCGGCACGCCCGCCCGTCTGATGGAGTTGATCGACAATGGTATGAGCCCAGAAGCCGTATCGGCTGCAACTGCATCCTACTAACACTGGCGCAGGCGCTTTGTCATTGGATAATCTGCAAAGACTTGTTGTAGATGCCTCACATGTCGACCAAAAGAAGAGAGGCATCATGGACATGAAGGATACCATGATGCCACTTGCCAGATTTTTGACTCGTCCAGAATTCAAAGAGCGTTACGGAGCCGAGAAGAAGCCATTGGCGTTGCTCTTCTACTAGATACCCTTCTACTTTTGCGGCGTTGGCACCATTGCATTTCAAAAGGGGGGAAAATATAGACTTGCATCTCTCTCGCTGTGCTAATTGTACGTATTTTTAAATACTGGGGATAATCCATGTCGAGTTTACTGAATGGTCAGTAACCGGTATCCGCTTGCACTCTTTGACGAGTTAAGCGAAGTTGACTTTGGACCCGTGGAAGGAAGGTCACAAGTCCGTGAAAGTGTCTGGTAGACTGTCGTATCAGTTGATCCGAAGTACCTTCTTCCTCGGCAAGCAACACCGTGACCCTTGGTGTGAAGTGCCGCACCTGCCTTTTGAATACACCAGCCGCTTGTAAATCATCATACATTGGCCCGGTCCTCTTTTCTTCTGCTTTGTCTTTTCTTTCTCTTCAACTTCAACCTTCGTCGCTCATTGCAACCATCTCTTCTCATTATCACGCTTCGGCACGCCATCACTCATTTTTGGATTTCCTTCTCAACCTCTTTCGCTCTACCCATTTTTTGGTGACTATCGTTAATTACGACTAGCCATTTGGCAGCCTTTCACTTTTAGAGTACGGCATCCCCAACATGCGGATCACCTTGATTGGTACACTTTTGCTGTTCTCAGCCTTGGCACGCTGTCAACGCGGAGTAGGGAGAACGGTGCCTGGTAGGTAATCACGGTGCCAGTTTAGCAGATACTGTGAGGCTAATCTTGCACATCAGCCTGCGTCACGGACTGTCAGAAGTCTCTTGCTGAACATGGGCTGCTCACTGATGGCATGAAGAGCACTTGTGCTACTCCCAAACTTCAACGAGTAGGTTTTGTTCCACCCATCTCAAGCACACATGCTTCTAACAGGTTGAAATAGGCACACTTTCAGTGTCTCATCAATCTTTGCAGCCCTGAATCCTACGGTCGGGCATTGGCATACTCAGTTTCTGCTTGCTGTGATACCGGCGTCGATATCATCCCCCTGCATCCTATCGAGATTAGCCAGCCTTCTCAACACAAACGGAGCCTGCAATCCGAAGTGTCCGATAAGACGCATACTGGTGACAAATTCACATCTTCCAACCAAGAGATCGATTTGAAACGCAACCTTGCTGTTGCTTTGACCTGCAATACTGGGCAAGACGGCGTTATAACAGTGTCTGTAGGATCCCCTCAGGCATCTAAAGCTCCAGCATCGATGGTTGATGACGAGGCTTTGCTTTTTGCGAATGGATTCATGACCAGTAGGTTTGCCCATGCGGTCCCGATAATGTATACAGAGTGCCCAGCAAGTTAACACCGAGCACAGCCGCTTTGTCTCACGGACGAGCTACAATGTCTCTGCATAAGCCTACTTCCATGGATGAATCTCGGGGCCATCGGAGTGACTCTACAACTGACTGTGAATCTTCCAACGGCAGCCGTCGTACGACTTCTGTAACAACTATGCAGGCACAAAGTACTCCTTGCAAATCAACCGGTTCCAGCTTTCGCAGCACCCCCACGACCACAATATGTGGTAGTTTTGAACAAGACATGTCTATGACAAGCCAAACGTACCCATCCGCTTCATGTACGCAGTCTGGTGCTTCGAAATCTGGAGTCAGTCGCGACCCAGCACAGGTGACTTCCTTGACAGAATCAGGCCGTCGGACTTCGCAACAGTCGACATCCGGCTGCACTTCATCATCGTCTCACACTGACGCTACATCTCGTCATTTACCGTCAGAGAAACCAAATGCGCCAACAACTGACTGCTCTGATGATATAGGTCGCTCGACTATGTCGACAAGACCGCAAACGTCGACACAGGAGTCCTGGACCTTGGACTCTCATGAATGGAGCACGAGCAGACTCTCAAGCTCAGATACACCCTGTTCGTCAGATTTGGCGCGTTCCAGTGTATTTTCACGCCAGGGCCTTACACTGACTTCGGCTGTAAGTCGAACTAGCATCACATCCACCTCTTGCACAGCTAGTGGTCGAAGCTCAAGCTCATCCTTTGCACATTCCGACTCTACTTCCAGCTCCTCATCTATCAGAGCTGGGACATCTCGTGACCGATATGAGACGGCTTGTACCACCAATACTATGTCTAGTACTACTAGCTCCACATTCACTACATCTTCCAGCTCTGAAGGGAACTTTGCCGCTACACCAGCCGCTTACACCTTTGCATCTCCTTCTTCCTTGCCACCAGCATATACCCCGCCATTGGAAGAATACGGATACGGCACCCCACCACCCGTATATGACTTTCCAAGCCAAGGAAATGGTGTTGACGAACCTCGATCATCAAGGATCTCGTATCCGACGTCGTCTCCCGATCAGCATTTTAGCTCCAGATCAGGAACACAAGACGGAAGCCCAGCTGCGTATGATACCAGCATGGCCAGACCGACAAAAATGGCACATGCTGCTCCAGCTCATGATCAAGATACAAATCACGACAAAACAGCACTTCAGGATACGTCGAGCCCAGTCGAGGTCACCCTTATATCTTCAGTCTTGGGAAAGGGATTTCAAACCACAATCATTACGGTAAACGAGGCTGGGGCTACTTCGCTTACTATGCCTTTGGCCTTGGCCTTGAACAGTCCGGTAGACGGGAGGCCCGATTCAACTACATCAGAATCAAAGGAGGGTTCTGGAACAAGTCATCAGAATTCTGGTCCAAGTGATGAACTTAACAATTCTAGCCGCGTAGGCTTCGAGAGCCCAATGCCAGCTTTTTTTGTCGGAGGATCGGTGACGACCGACCCTAGCATTTATGTACTGATAAGCACCGTGTCTCTTGCAGCTGGTATTGCCATTTGCATCTTGTAACGCATATCAGAAGTGAATATGAGATAGCTGCTTTTTGCAACGATGGTGATGGATTGCGGAGCAAGATTAGGGATTTTATATGTTTGCGTTTTCAATGTATATTATTAGACATTGGCACACACCCCCACTGCAACATTGCAGGAGTAAAATAATCTGTAATAAGTTTTTCTAGAGATATGGTCATGCCTGCAGTGAGAAAATGCGAAATTAGCGTCAACAGATAGCCAGGCTGGAAATGTACGGTGTCGGTAAGTGAGAGCTCTTTCGATGCCGATACTCACTAGAGTCCTGACTGCGTAGTGGAGCCAGGTGGGTCGAGCCAACATTGAAGGGTCTGGTGAAACCACAAGTACCGGCTCCGCTAAAATTTCTGGCAAATCTCTGTCTCGACTGAATAGTCCAGGTCTTACAATTCAGCACTTTGCAACACGCGCGCAAGCCCAAAAATCCACGAATTGTCAGTCATTAGACTGCAATGAAAAGCAAACGAGCTCGCGAAGCCGCTACGGCAAGCGAAGACTTCCTCCCCGTCGACGACACACCAGTAGAGAAGAAGCGCAAGAGAAGCGACGATGAACATACTGAAGTGAAGCAGAAGAAGGCCAAGAAGGACAAGAAGGACAAGAAGGATAGAAAGAAGGATAAAAAGGAGAGCAGAAAAGAGAAGAAGGACAAGCGAAAGGATCTACAGGATTTACCCG